AAAATGCTTGAAGTATATGATAAAATACCTATGAACGTTAAAATAAGAAGCATTCTTTATATTTTTTAGATATTTAAATAATTATAAATATTTAACTATTTAAAAATATTATTTAATCCTTTTCTAAAAAAAGTATGTTGACAAATATCTGGAGAAATATTGAAAAATTGAAAAAAGGTAAAATTTGGAGACAAAAATATCTGGCTTAACTGGGTTGTATTAGGTGTATTAATTAATTTATGCCGTCCAACTTTACACAAAAATATAAATCATTTAAATTTAAGTTATTGTCGTACCCTTTTGCTATTTTAAAGTATTGACATTCAAGATTAAAATATGCCATGTAGTTTGCATTTAAGCAATATAATCTTAAAAATTAGTAGTAAACATCATGGCTTACGATAAAAAGCATATTCAACACTGCATGTTTTGTGTTTAATCTCAATAAAAACGCTTCTAAAGCAGCCGAAATGATTTGTTCTTTTTACGAAAAAAGTGAAGTGAGTGAAAGAAGTGCAAACAATGGTTTAATCGTTTCCGAGACGGTGATTTCACGATATTGACGATCAACCATGCGCTGGGCAGCCTCGCAAGTTTGAAAATGATGAACTGCAGGCGCTACTCAATGAGAACCCGAGACTCAAATACAAAAGGAACTTGCCGAGCAGCTTGGTGACGCAACCAACGCTTTCGGTTCGATTGCACCAGCTGGGAAAAATTCACAAAGAAGGAAAGAAGGTGGGTTCCATATGAGTTGACTGCTGACAACAAAAATCGTCGGTTGACCATGTGCATTTTTTTGCTCACCAGAGTATGAAAAAAGGATTTTTTGCATTCAATCGTAACTGGCGATAAAAAATGAATTATGTACGATAATTCGAAATGAAAAAAATCATGAGTATATCATGGTAAACCGACAACATTAATAGCAAAACCTAAACGTTTTGGTAAAAAGGTTCTTCCTTGCATATGGTGGGACCAGAAAAGTGTATTGTACTATGAGTTCCTCTAATCAGGTCAGACAATTAAAGCAAAGTTCTACCAACAATTAATCCGTTTGAGCGATGCAATTGAGGAAGAATGGCCATTTACTGGACAAGACAGTCGTAAGATCATCTTGCTCTATGACAACGTTAAGCCGCGCTTAGCAAAAACCACGAAGGAAACCATCTTAAATTTGGGCTGAGAAATTCTTCCTCACACGGCGTATTTGCCAGACATAGCCCCTTCAGACTACCATTTGTTTCGGTTGATGCAATACTCCTTACCGAATACACACTTCGACTCAATTGAAGACGTTAGAAATTTCGTCGGCGACTTCATCGCTTCAAAGTCACCAAGTTTCTATCGCGATGGAATCCGAAAATTGTCTGATAGATGGCATAAGGTCATCGATATTAACGGAGAATATTTCAATGATTAATTAATGTATTCATCTTATTGAAAAATAAAGTCGAAGTTTGCGAAAAAACGGCACGAATTAATTTATACACCTAATATTTTTTTGCCTTTAAATATGTTCTAACTTATTGCGAGAATAAAAAGTTTCTGGTCAAAAAATTAGTTGAAAAAATTATAAGATGCTTCTACGGGTCAGATCCGACCCATATAAATCTTATTCTTCCAGAGTTAAGAATGAATATTGCTGCCAGCATGAAAAAATGTAAATCTTCCCATTGTTGAAGTAATAGCTAGGGATCATATATTCCAAAGGATCAAGTGTCTCCAGATTTCCTTATAATTTTTCTTATGTAAATTATGATAAAAAATATTTTCATTTTTAGGTCGGTAGCAGTAATAGAGGTGAAGGAGAGGTGGAGCTCAAAGAAGGGATGAATGGAACGGCGGCGCTGCGACGCAGCGTTGGGGCTGGTGCAGGCGCCATTGGTGGTGGGACCATTGAGCCAGCACCCATTGCTACTCTTGTCGTATATAAAGACGATGCTGGATTTGGAATGAAAGTTTCTGGCGATAATCCAGTTTATGTCCAATCCGTAAAAGAAGGTCTGTATAAAAACACAATACTTATGTTAATAAATAGTACATTCCTCCTTAATTGAGAAAAATTGACACCTTATTTTTTAGCATTATAAAGTTTGACGCAATTTCTATTTGTATCCATGATAGTTCCGCAGTTCCTGATATATTAAAGGTCCGTCGAAATAATTAAGAAAATGTCATTTTGAAAATACAATATGCCAACTTCTTGTGGCACTGCAATCTCCAAAAATCAATCATTTAAACTATTAATATTAAAGTTCTAGAAGAGTTTTATAGTTTCTGTTATGTTTTAGCGAGAATTCCTGCTTTTAACTATTTTTAAGTAATTTTTTAATTTTACCGTTAGCACCGCATTACAAGAATAAAATATGTTGTGCTGGCAATTCTAGATTTTTTGACATTTTCCAGTTTTATACTTAATATGTTATTTTTGTTGTAATCGAGTCCAAAATTAAAACGGGTAAGAATGACCTTTTCATTATATTTCTTGATTGATACAAAAACTCTCAACAACTGACTAAAAGAATGTAATGTCGAAGGTTAGCGAGCCAGGACGCTCAACGAAATTATTCTATAAGGCGCGAAATTTAAAAATAATATAATAATCTAGATATACCGGATTCTCCATAGGATAGGTCTCCAAAATATGGAACGCGAGGGGGAATAAATTTCCAAACTATTCTCTTATTTGAAAGAAATTCTTGAATACATTAATTCGTTTTGTTATCCAAAAATGTGCCTATTTCTTTCAGGATATTATTTGTACTAATGAAGTCGGCCACATTGTCTGATAAGGAGACACGCAGATCTGAGCTAAACTTAAACAGTTTGTAAGACGGAGACCCCAAGTAGAAATATAAAATATTAGATGCAGATGGCCAACTATTTTAAAAGTTATTATAAAGTTATTATAAAGATTTAAGCATCGCGCTTATTACCAATGTAATAAGACCGAATCTCGAGGCGGTGCGGCAGGGTGACTATCTGCGAAGTCGTAGGTTCATGTTTAATCCCTTTTATTTCCTTGTATTGCTATCCTTTTTCCAAGTCTTTTTCTTTCAATAAAAAAATATTTTTTAAATTGTTTTGAAATAGAAAAGGCATTATAAAAATAAATCAATGTTGGAATAATTGAAATTCATTATCGCGCTGTCACGCGTCGCTTCGAAGTTCGATTTTGTTACATTGGCATCAGGAATTATAGAACTATTGTGCAGATAAAAATAGAACTTGTTTTAAATCTGACGGTGCTAAAAAATGAGGTGTTAATTTCGTACCAGCCTTACCTGATATACCTATATTGTAAAGATATCTTTATAGAAATGATATAATTTTATAGGTGGAGCAGCAGCAAGAGCAGGTCTTCATGCAGGTGACAAAATAATTAAGGTAAGTAAAAGTCAACTTGTAAAATTGAATACGGGAATAAAGTGGCACATTTTTATCGTTAATCAAGTTCAATCAATCTAATCAATCAATCTAAAAAGTTCACTGTTATTCAAAATAGGTCAGTATAATCGTCTTTTTATGAGCAGCCGTTGAATTTGTAAAATATGGACGTTTTACGTATATTTTTCCCGTATCTTTTAATAAAACTGCCCCGAAAGCGTACTTGCATCATTCATGCTCTTGGTCTTTCCTTGTTATGAACTTTCAAAGTATACTATGAAAAAAATTCGCTATATGTTAAGTTATCCAAAAATAAACTTGGGAAGATAAGAGTAAATGTTACTTTTTTGCTTAAATGGCCTTAGTTATTCTTAGAGTTTGACAAAAAATGTCACTTTTGATCATTATTTTGATATTTAAGAGGTTGTATTTTATTGAGAGGTCAGAAAGGTTTTCTGTCATCTTTTCTGTCAAGAAGCAGTCATTATTTAACTTTTTTTAGTTCCGGTGACTGAATGGCAGTGCTGTTAATGAGAAAAAAAATAATAAAGAAATTCGATTTTAGCTCGAATTAACAGAATTATTTGCAACACCATCGCTTCTAGTTGTTCCTGGCTGTTGTACAGGGGATAACTTTCATTTGCCAAATTTGGCCATATTGATTTTTCGTATTTTGCGCATACAATATGATCGATATAAATTAATCTGTCCCGACTTGGCACGGGTGCAGATGCAACAATATTATGTTTAGATCTATTGAATGTCATTATTATTTTCAAATTTTAATTGTTAATCATTTTTTAATAAACAGAGATTGATAGCTAAACTTTCAAAAAATTATTCAGGATATTCTCGATAACATATGTTAAGGTTAAAGTCATCAGAGACATGTCCATTAAAACGAATAATTACTCTGAAATTATATTTCAATATCGAAGATTAGAATTTTGGGATATTTTTATTATTATTTGATGTACCGTATTCAAGCGCATACATTTTTTGACAATATAATCATCTTTAAATGTTTCTCACTTAAAAATTATTATATTTTGTATTGGGATTTTTATCACAAAATATTCTAATGAGTTTTATTAATGAGTTTATAAGTATTGGGATATTATATTAAAAAAGTTAATATACTTATCTTAATTGAAATTAACTCCTGTTTAAATAAAATCTTATATATATAACAAAAAATTGTTTTTGTTTAAGGTGAATGGTGTTAATGTGATGCAGTCTACACATACTGATGTAGTTCAGCTCATAAAATGTAAGTATGTTTTATTTTTCTGAGAGGATAGTTTAGTGTAGGAGTTAAAAAAAAATACTATTTTATATAAAGTTTAAGGTGTTAAAAATAAATTTCGAGAAGTTTTTGTTGAAAGTCGTAAAAATAATCAAAATGCAGGTATTTATTAATTTTGGCGTCCAAGACATTTAGCGCGCTGACTGAAAGCACTCAGGAGCAGCTGTTGCGCTGAGCAGGTATTCTTCCACAAATAGTTTTTTGGTTCTTTGATAGACATATGTGTTTAAAAAGATCGCCGTTAAAGTTGATTTAGGAAGGGCAAATTCCAACAGTCGTTTAATGCTGCAGAATACTTTAGAACACACTTTTTATGCTACAAAAACAGTTGAAATTGCAGCACATCTAGCTACATGCATTTTTAATTAAGGCTACCGTCTGAATTCTACTGTTCCGAAAATTCTAGCAATAATGAGTGCAACTGTTGAATCACAAACAAAACAATTTGTCGATATGCAAAATGTCTTGAACGATTCGAGCGTTTGTAACGTCAAAGAAAACCCATGTTTCTTGTTTAGATTAGAAATATAGGAAAAATACGAGCAGTTTGAAGTAGAGGAGAATTTATTATATGAACTATTCTTTAAATGATAATAAGAGTAACTGCTGGCGTTGCAAGTTATTAATAGAGAAAAAGGTAATATTATAGCTTTGTATTTACATTTTGTACAATAACTTCGTTTTAATAATCAATATTTTAACAGTTATATTTGACAAAATGTTGTTCAAACGACTCAAAGTTATGAAATATTTATTATTTAACACATTATTTTTATAAAAATGTGGTGACATTATATAATAAGTTAAAGAGGAATAGGAGTGGTTTCTTCTAAAATATATTTAAAAAATTGAAAAAAAAAACGCATCTATACATCCGTGCAAAAGCTCTTTATGTCATTGAGAGGGATTGACTATTGATTGACAAAAATTGCTTCTTTTGACATAGAGAATTGTACAGTATACATATTTTGAACACGAATCCTAATGTACTTCGTATAATACGATGTTTCTGAGAAGATTCAATTTTGTTGTAGCATCGACGCAAGTGGTACTGACGGTGCAGCAGAAACCAGTGACAAGCGGTGCAGCGACAGTAGCAACAGCGACAGCTACGGCAACAACGACAACTTCTGGTCTACAAGTCGGATTTGGAACGGGAACAGCTGCCACCACTATCACTACCACTACCACCAGCACTACCATCACTAGTACTGTCATCACCGCTGCAGCGAATCAACAGCATCAACGTCCGGTCAGTCTATCAGCAGCCGGAAACATGTCACCTTCACAACCAGCGACCTCCTTGCATAGAGCATCTACCGCACCTGCTGGTGGGGCTCTATGCAACACCCGAATTACAGGCCCACAGCCAGTTGATGTAAATAAGAACGTGTATATCAAGTACCGAAATAGAATGCTTTTTACTGCTTAGCTTTTTTTGTTATGTTTGCTAATCTAAAGATAAATTTTTTACACAAGAAAAATGCCCATATACCATAGAAAGTAAAAGACTCTCGACAACCTATCTTATGTTACAGAGGGCGTTTTAAAAATGCGAGTCAATAATGTAAAAGTGAAAAGTACAAGCCAAAATAAGCAAAAAGTCCCGGTGATCATGGAGCCGTAAATGAACCGTTTTTGAGTTATCACATATGTTCTGTTACGATTAGTTACTGACAAAAAGAGGAAGAATCATAGAATCATAAAAAGTGATTGTTCCTTTGATATAGGTGGTTTTACTTATACGTCAGATACTACATGTTTAATTGTGGATTTCAACATCACAAGATGTTATAGACGGGAAAAGCTTCTTGGTACAAACGTGCAACTTCGAGTACATTGCCGTTAGCTTTGTCATACATGAAATACGTATTCTCACTCTTCGTTGCTGTAACCTCTATCCATGTTGATGATCTGTTGATAAGTACTGGCAAGCCAAAAATATTGAGGAAGGAGAAAGAGAAAAAATGAGCATACGTGTAATATGTAACAGAACATATTGCGTTAACTTGAAAACGGTTCGTTTGCGGCTCCATGTTCACTGAAACTTTTTTGCTTATTTTGGTTTGCATTTTTCATCTCTACATTATTGACCTTTATTTTTTTAATATTTTGTATAAAAACTATTTTTCTAAGTCAACTATCAGTTCTTCAAAATAGTTAAATTTCACATTTTTTATTGAAAATCAAACGAGATTTTGAGATGGGAATGTATGACCTAATCATTATTTATCTTTTTATGAATATTTTAATATTTTAATATTTATTAATATTTTATTAATATTTCAAAGAAACTTTGATGAAATCTTAATCCTAGCTCGCCACATTCCAATCCAAGTGGTCCACTGAACGTTTCTCAATTTTCTAATTTTTATATGGCATACGATTTTTTTTTAAGTATCAAAAACGTGCAACAAGGAATGAACGTTACCTTTTTTTAAATCACATTTGCAAAACAATTTGAGAATTTTTTCCGAAAATACTCTTTTCTTTATAATAATAAATTTAGTTCAAACCCAAATCATTTTCTTGACCTGATATCATAAACATTTTAATCGGACCCTGTATTTCTAATTCTCCCATTATAAGCATAGAAATATTAATTAGAATAAAAATGACAAGATGACGAAATGGAGCAGTTTCACAGGACAAATGTGGCGAATTAGAAACTCGTGAATACTCGAAAATAAATATGGCTAGCTAGGGTTAATTTAGAAAGGTTATACATAAAACAAATAAATTAGAAAGTACAATAAATTATAATATCTCTTGATATTTTTTCTAAGAGAGAAAATAGTTCTCAAAATGGCCAAAGAAGCTATAGTTATGAGAGTATCCGACAATTCTGAGTTACTCTATCCTACATTATATTGCCATTTGAAAAGAAAATTTCTTTTCGTAGCATGAGAAGAAACGACAGTTGGAAACACAAAGAGTTCACACATTCCAGCTTATGTTGGAGAAGGAACAAAGTTACGTGGATAAATTACGAAGTGAATTAGCTAAAACTGGCACTGGCACTGGCAATGGCAATGGCGGTGTCAATATCACAGCTTTGCAGAACGAATTGGCAGGTGCTGAAAGAAGAGTACGAACCTTGCAGGAACAGCTCGCAGCGATTACAACTAATGAACAGGTCGGCACATTTATACTATATTTATACGCTTTAATGATACGTGCTTCTTTGTGTTTTAGATATTTTTCATTATTAGATTTATTACTTAAATACGCCTTTATATTGAAAATCATTTAGTACGTCTAAATATAAAAATGCAGGAAAACTATGTAACTTAATCCAGAATATCTCTATTCTAAATATCTTTATTTGATACAATGCAAACCAATAAAAATTTTCAGCGTTTATATTAATTTAATATAGAGCAGTCAATATTTTTTATAAGCCAATTTTTATTAACTTTTTCAAGATTTCCTAAATGATCCACTCTGAACCTAATGAGTATTCTGAACAAAAATATCCTATATCATTTTGCAAATAATATGTAAATTATTGAATTATTAATTAAAGAAACCTCTATACATGATCATTTTCATTTATTAATAACTCGAAATTTTGCATGATTGTTTGCAAAATAGATTGTTTGCAAAATAGAGGACTTTTCTACTCAGTTTAACCTATTCCATCTGCACACAAGCAGTGCACCATGAATTATCGGACACCTTATATATAGGATTGTATAACGAAAATACCAAGTAAAAAATTCTCCACAATTTTTCATTTGACTGCGTCACGCGTTTCAAGAATCGAACTTGGAGCTTCCTACTGCTTGCGGATTGGGCGCTGTGCCAATTCGGTCACTGAAGTTTTGACAGTATCTACTGCAATATAAATGTTTATAAATATTAGGAGAGGAAAGCAGTATATTATGGCCCTTGTAGATATAATAGCTCTTCTTTATATCTCCGTTAATTTGCATACTACGAACCGAGATTAGTTTGGGACATTCTGTATATATAATAAATAAATATATATCATATATAAATATATAAATATATACGCGCGAGCGCGCGCATACATATATACGTATATACATATATACATACATACATACGTATATACATATATACAGGGTGAGGAAAAAGTATGGAGACCTTAAAAATCTCGAAAAATATAACTTTTACAGAAAAATGTTTCAGATAAAAGTTGTAGGGTTTAAAGAGATCTATTTACTTATCGATTTGACCTTGGATGGCTTCGCCGGCCGAAGTCAAGACAAGGTCAAGTTGAATTTTTTTAACGGAATCGCCTATTTTTTATTATATTCTTATAGGCCTTGTCGAGATGTTTTCAGAACACTACAATAAAGCTTCTTTTGATTAAGAATTTCCTGAAATATTTAAAAATTTGTCATGATACTTTTTACATAGTCTGTTATGACTCCAGTCTAAACCCATCTCGCGATGCAAAAGTGATGTGAAAAAAAAAAAACTCTAAATCCATCTCGCAATATAAAAGTAATACGAAGAAGAAAATTCTAAACTCATTTCGCGATATAAAAGTGACATGAAAAGGAAGACTCTAAACCTATTTTGTGATATAATGCGAAAAATGATGTGAGGATAAAAACTTTAAACTCATCTCGCGATGTAAAAGTGTTTGGGAAGAAATAAAATAGATATTTCTATTAAAAATTACGTGGGCAGAACTAGTTGAAAATTTGTCGAAATGTGCAGTTTCTACCGAGCTTTGATTTATAGAGTTGATTTATATAAATATGCTTTATTTTTTAAGTATTTCCATAACAAATTTTATAAAGATGTTAGAAAAGATCTAGGTGGCTGTTTTTGTATTCTTGTGTTCTTTATACGATTACTAATACCACATCCATCTGTTTGAGAAAGATGTTTAACTTAAAAAATGAATACATAATTTTTATATTCAAAAATAAATACATAAAATAGTTAACCAACTTATCCTGTACCACAAGATAAAGTTATAATATTGTTTCATTCTAGGAAACATATCATATTTGAAATATTATGTGCACAAATAATTTTCGGCCTTTTTAAATGAAAAATAACGTTTATTTATATAAATTCAGAATATACTTTAATCAACAAAGTAATCTCCAGTAGCATCTACATATTTTTGCCATCTTTCGGGTAGGTGGCGAATCCCCTCTCGGTAAAAGGAAAAGCCAGTTTAAAGTCAATAAAGTCGGTAATGCATTTTTCACCTCTCCGAACGTTTTGAAGTGGAAATCTGTTAAATAGTGTTGGAGGGTGCGGAACAAGTGAAAATCTGACGGGGCAGGATCTGGTGAATACCCCGGATGTAGCAAAATTTTCCAGCTCAACAAATCAAGCGTGTTGCTTTTACTGTTTGTGACCTCGCGTTATTGTGCGATAGAATGACCGGCTCAGGCCGATTTTTACACATGCTAGAAGACACAGCACCTTTCCCTAATGCCTCACAAATCATTTTCTTTGCCTTGGACGTGGTTTTTTTTTTTTTTTTTTTTTTTTTTTTTTTTTTTTTTTTTTTTTTTTTTTTTTTTTTTTTTTTTTTTTTTTTTTTTTTTTTTTTTTTTTTTTTTTTTTTTTTTTTTTTTTTTTTTTTTTTTTTTTTTTTTTTTTTTTTTTTTTTTTTTTTTTTTTTTTTTTTTTTTTTTTTTTTTTTTTTTTTTTTTTTTTTTTTTTTTTTTTTTTTTTTTTTTTTTTTTTTTTTTTTTTTTTTTTTTTTTTTTTTTTTTTTTTTTTTTTTTTTTTTTTTTTTTTTTTTTTTTTTTTTTTTTTTTTTTTTTTTTTTTTTTTTTTTTTTTTTTTTTTTTTTTTTTTTTTTTTTTTTTTTTTTTTTTTTTTTTTTTTTTTTTTTTTTTTTTTTTTTTTTTTTTTTTTTTTTTTTTTTTTTTTTTTTTTTTTTTTTTTTTTTTTTTTTTTTTTTTTTTTTTTTTTTTTTTTTTTTTTTTTTTTTTTTTTTTTTTTTTTTTTTTTTTTTTTTTTTTTTTTTTTTTTTTTTTTTTTTTTTTTTTTTTTTTTTTTTTTTTTTTTTTTTTTTTTTTTTTTTTTTTTTTTTTTTTTTTTTTTTTTTTTTTTTTTTTTTTTTTTTTTTTTTTTTTTTTTTTTTTTTTTTTTTTTTTTTTTTTTTTTTTTTTTTTTTTTTTTGCGAAGAGCAAACAGTGCCTAATGTGTTGCTTGTCAAACGTCATCGTGCTTACTGTGTTCACGGTGAATTGTTTGAAGTTATGTCAGCTATATGTTCCGGTTTTATGATTTATTGTGTCGGTACTATAGCCCTAAGTTGGCGGCAAAAACTTGCCGTTTAAATATGTGTTATAATTGATTTAATACGTTGAGTGCCACGTCAGTCACCGGTGACTGACAGTATAAAGTACGATATAAAACTAAAAAAATTACATAGTTTAATAAATAATTTCAGGATCGTATAATTAATATACTTAAATATTTCTTATCAAAAAATTTTAATTTTTTGGTCTGAACGAGATTTCCTCCGAAATGCGCGTGGCACTCAACGTGTTAATATTAGGGCCGAGAATTAATTTGTACGCTTAATATTTATTTCTAAAATAGGAATTGAAATAATTTGCTTCTTATAATATGTTCAAATATTTAATTTGACTCTCAGTTAATGCCGCGTCCTTCATGGATTTGTCTTATCGTTTCAGGTCATTTGTCTCCTTAAAGAACTGATATTTCTAACTGAAATATTCACGGAATGTCGTAAATAAGAGAAAAACAAAAATGAAAGACGCGGCACTAATTCCGAATCTAAATTAAACCTTTTTTTCATACCACGGAAGTTTAAAATATCAATACAAAAATTTCAAAAATATTCAAGATGATTGAGTTACATAGTTCACCATATATTCCGTATCATTGCAGCAAAGCTTTAAAAAAGTGAATTTAACCTAGGAATCTAATTTTATCATTAGCACAAATGGGTATATATATTGATCAGTTTATCGCGAGTTCATCAGAGCTTCTACTAACTTTTCGGCAACCTATCGTTGTGTCTTACAGCTTTGTTCTTCAGTAACAGCAACCTTTTGTTGTATCTTACAGCTTTGCTCATTGGTAACAAACACCTCGTGCTCCCCGAGCTATTATCCACCCTCGAATCCAAATGACGGCAGTGGAACAGACCTGCCACCCCCATTACCGTCGCGTAAATCCTTATCCATGCAAAGTCTCTCTCCACCGCCTTTACCTCCCAGACCTCCACCCATCACAAACATGCACAACACAGCCCAGCTGGAGCTGGATCGACATCTGCTGACTCATTTAACGCCTTCAATCGTCAGTCAGGGTATTCCTAACTCTGTAAGTAGCCTAATCGCCAATACTGTCACATTGATATTTGTTTTATGTATCCAGCTAGTCGTTAAATGTGCATATATTATTAGGATTAGGAAGCAACGCGTTACTTGTAACACTATTACCGTTAGTGTCGGCCCATAACAGGTATTTTAAGCCTTAAAGTTTAAGAAATTGACTAATCACAGTTAATTATTCTCTTTATATTCGATTGTGATTGGTCAATTTCTTAAAGCTTAAAATACTTATTGTGGACCGATACTTATGTTTTCTAAATAACAGTAACGACGTTCATTTCCCTTTTTTCCTTTTTTCATTAATACTGGGAACACAATTACGTCTTTTGAATAGAAATATAATAGTAATTTATAAGATATATAATTGCCGTGTTATAACTTACAAATAAGTAAATAAATGAATAAATAAATAAATAAAAAAAATATATAATTATAACTAATTATAAATATAACATAAATCTACATTATACGTAATTCGGTAAGAATAATAACCGTTATTTTCGCTATTTATATCGCTATTTTGTATATATTTTGAACTCGCATGTAACGATTTGTCTCGAACTAGATTTAACGTGCCAAGCCTAAGAACTCTCTGCTTAGTCTACGTAATAGAAGTATCCAGACAAAATTTATATATCAGATATCACGAAATTAATGTATTAATATGTTATAATAGTAATTGTTTTCAAAGTTTATATCAGATGCAATTTTCGGCTCGTTTTCAAAAGTCGATGTTCATTATCTGCTACGCTTGACGTCAGGAATGGCTCTATTATGAATAAAAGCAAATAGTTGAATCTTGTGCGACATCAAAAATATATGCGGAATGATATGTATTATATCATGTTTACATGTACAGGTTTTTCGCACAATTGTATCTTTGCTATATGTCTTTGATATAGCAGAGTATCTGATCTCATTGCATTCATGGTTCAGCCGCTCTTGACGCAAAGTGTTGCGAACCTTAGTTTCGCGCCTGGTTGTTTCGTCGCGGACGGCAAAGAAGGGATAATGGGCATTGATACTGAAATCGGATGATTGAAAGTTACATCTGATGAGCACTGTGTTATAACACCAATATTTCTGAATTCAATAGTGTTTAAGAAATTGTCATTTTATGTTACTAGAAGTATGATTAAATTTTCGCTTTTTTCGTTTTTTCATCAAAATTTTTTGATTAGTGCCAAAGAAACAACACGATTATTTTAATGAAAATATTTGCTGTTTGCATCTACTTCCTTTTGCTATCTTTCAGGCAGCATATAGATGCTGCGACGAGAGAATGTCTCGTTTTTTACGCGATGAAATGACTGATCCATTTTCTAGCATCTATTTCATTCCGAAAGTGTAAAAGAGGCTGTACTATACAAACTGGAATAAGTGGCAGTCAGACAGCGTGATGTTTGCAGAATACGTGAAGAATTTCCCTTTCGAGATCATACAGCATTTGTTTGATACACCATGAGTAATATGGGACTACGTGTTTTCGTGGAGCATATCAGCTTTACGTTGTTTTGAGGCACATGCCGGCCATTTCCCTTGAAGTTATCTGGTTCAAACAGCTTAATTTGACATTGTGCCGCTATAACCCACTGTGACCGTTTAATGTGTTGGAAGAATCTCATAATATACTTCATGCACTCCATGTTCATCCCACCAGATATAGAAGAGTAGCTTCTTGCCATGAATGTTACATTTTTGTCCAAATCGTCGGTTCTCCAGGATCTACCCATGATTTTTTGCGCTTAGGGTTATTATAATAAATCCACTTTTTGCCGCCTGTCACAATTTGCCACAAGAAATTCCTTTTATTGTCTTGTCAACAGTGCAAGACAAATGTCGAAGCGCTATGCATAATTCTCCTCGGCCAACTGATACGGCACCCATTTTCCTTCTAGATTTTTCCCGTCGCATGTAATCGCTGGAAACGGCAGCTTGAGTCACTCCAAGTTGTTCCGCAAGCTATTTTTGCGTCTGTGCTGAGTTTTCATTCAGAAATGTTTGCCTCTAGTCTTCGATCATTTCCGGTCATTCAGAACGCGGTCCACTCACTTCGAAATCTTTATTTTTAAATTTTGCAAACCAATCCCGGTACGTTCTTCCTGCTACATTGTCGTTGTACGTCTCACAAATAATGTTGGTTACTTTAGCAACAGTTTTATCGCGATGAAAATAGTAAAGCCATCATAGCTTTAAGATGTACTTTTTTGGTGTTCATTTTTTATTAAACTGAAAGTATGGTTAATTATTGAGTAGCGAACTGTCATGTTATTGGAACGCATGTTAACCAATCTTACTAACAAAACAATAGTTAATCTAAAAAGTCTCAATACGCCGTTGTCAACACTATCTAAAGTCAATGGCGGGAACTTAGTTATACACCAAATAATTAGTTAAATGTATAAGATACACAAATATTATATATATATATATATATATATATATATATNGGTAAGAAACTTCTGGACGGGGGCCAATTTCAGCAACAGCTTGATTGTAGTCATTAGAATTGGAAGTGTATTGACTCGAATGGCTACGACTACACGACTCTCTGACCGCATTGTAGACGAACGTTTAAGATTTGACTCGTTAAATTCAGTTCAAGATAAATCGTTACATATGAATGTACAGAAAAAAACGGTTTAGATAAACTGATGTTAGGAGCGTAGTCGATGGTCCAATGAGAGAATTTACTTTGGACTAATTTCTTCTTTCATTGGATTATTGTATGCATTCTGAACTTAACTATGTCTAAACCATTTGTTTGTCCGAAATATTCCCCACTATATATGTAGATGTTCGTCGCTATAATTTTTATGTATGTGGAGAGTGTGCTAGCTGTTGCCAGATGTTATAATAGAAATGAAGCAATGGTTCGCAGGAAAAAAAAGTCATCAAACATTGATGTAAAACAATGCTGCGAAATATTTGTATTTTCAAGGCTATTTTAGACTTGTGAGGCACTCTCTAATTGCTCAGAAAATTTCACCAAGAATCTAGTGTGTTTTATCGTTATAATTACAATAATATAAATGTGTTGTAGTATATAGAAATGATAAGTATAAAGAACTTGTTTCAATAAAAACCTTTATTGGTCTTATGAAGTTTACGGTTCTATAAGGCTAATAAGCACAGCGGCTATTAATCGAGTAGGACTCGACGGGTGAGCGGAGAAAGCAAGGGGAAGAAAGTAGGTATAGCCGACGAAAATCTTTAAAAGATCAAATATTTTTAACAAGAGGAATTTATGAGATGATTCACCAATTTCAATAATATTGTTTATATGGATAAGCCTTGAATAAGTCCATTGATAAACTTCTATTGAACAAAGGTAGGGAGCGCAATTCACGAAAATTTTTTAGGAAATTGAAGTTAAAAAATCGCGAGTAACGTATGAATGAGTTTAGCGGAACGCCTCACGAGAGATCGCGTGATAGCGTTTCTGACTCACAAATGCAAGGTCGCTGATTCGAGTCTCGATGGATTTTTCTTTTTTAAATCAAAATACAATTTTTACATAAGATAATTGTAAATCATATGGGTTTATATATTTTATCTATTTATTTTCTATGGAAATATGCATTTCCCCCTTTTTCCCTCTGCCTTGAAAATTCTTTTTCGGAATTGTTATCTATTAAAAATAAAAAATAATTATTTAAAGATTTTTATATTTGGAAGTGTAAGAATATTATGAATAATTTGGCTTGTGAAGCAGTTTAAAATAATATAATGTGTTACACGTCTCCTTATAATGTTTCTAATTTTATTTGTAATAGACGGCAATTCCGAAAACAAATTTTCGAGGCAGAGGGAAATAAGAGAAAATGTATATTTTTAATACAAAATAAATAGACAAAATATATAAATCCACCTGATTTACAATTATTTTACATCAAAATTGTATGTTTCTGATTTGAAAAAGAAAAGTTAACTTTTCGAGACAGCTCTTCGAATCAGCGATCTCGTATTTATGAGTCAGCCACAGAGCCACGCGGTTTTTAATGAAGCGTTCCACTAAATTTACTTATTCAAACGTTACTCGCGATTTTTTAACTTGCATTTTGTTGAAAATGTTTGGGAATTGCACTTTCTCTCTTTGCTCAATAAGGTTCTTGCCAAGGTCTATCCGCCACAGATATTAATGAAATCGGTAAGTATTATCCCATGACTGCCCCTTGTAAGTACTGATGAAAATCAACGAAAACGGTAATAAATTACTCTTCAAAACGGGGAATTATAACGATAAAAAGTTACGCTACAAATATCGTAACTTTCAGATCTCATAACTCGGAAAGTACTTAATGAAAATTAATTTTATTGTATGTTGTGTTTTGTAAAGTATTTTGAAAAACCTTCGAAGTCAGCTACAAAAATACGCAGTCAAAAATAGGAGTTTTTATTAAAAAATTTCAAAGTAATTTTTATATAACTTTAACAATACCGTCCAAGGTCACACTAATATTGCTGCTGTGTAATGCGTTACTTAAAACACTACAACTTTTATATGGAACATATTCTCCGAAAATGCTTTCTTTTCAAGATAACTTCATTTTAAAATCAATTACGTATTTAATTTTAGCATTATAAGAAGTAACGAATTGTTACTTTCTTAGTAATGGTAACGAGTTATTTTCTAAAATTAGTAACGAGTGATAGTAAAGTGTTATCTTTTATGAAAAGTAAAGGTAGCAGTAACGTGTTACTTTTTTGAAATAACGTTCCTAACTCGGGCTAATAATTTACAATCAATTGAATAAACAGTTACAATCTTTATAATCTTTTATAATCTTTGCAATTGAAGTTAATCAATAAATCAATAAATATATAATGATACTTAAACGTTGTACGATAAAAAGTTAATTATAAATTACTTTTCAGTTTTCTCAGGATGTCAATTTAAGCGCTTCGAATGTGCTTGCCAAACATCAACGGACAAAATCGAGTCCAGAACAATTAGGAACAGCAACGATGTCACCCTCGGAAGCCAGCAGACGTTTAATTGCTTCTGAATCAATGAATGATCTGTCACTTCCGAAACATGTAGGGCACAATGATATTGATATAAAGGAATTGCCGCATATCACGCCACCGGGTACACCGCCGCCGCCATATCCGGTCTCCACTTTAGGACACGATATCTTCTCATCCACGCTAAATGATGTACATATTCTATTATTTTTAACTCATTTATTATTCATATACATCCTATATTCAATATGTTTACAGTTCTATTTTTTTATGTTATGGGGAAATTCTTTTTCTACTGAATTTCAAGATTTTTTTAGTTTTATTTTTTATTCAGCAAAAATTCAACGTTATATTTTGCGTTCTGTACAGTCTTCCTTTGCTTAACGCCGGTAATTCTTTTCCCGAAAACAACGATTTTAAGGCTCGGCTATCTCCAGCAATTATAATTGGTAGTATGACGTCAAAAGAGAGAAATGACATGTACTTTGTGACATATAGATTTTATAAAATAAACAGTTCATAAAGTTTTTTAGTTAATGTATTAAATTTTTACCACTTAAAAAAAAATAAATGCACTTTAACAATTTTAAATTATGTCCACATTTATGTACATGCATTTGTTCATATAAGTTAATTTAATGATTAATTGATATGATTGATAATGGTTCATGGAACATATTATTTTTCTTTCTATATAATTTAATTGCTTACTTAATGTTTCCTTATTTAAGTCTCGGCTATCTCCGTCAGCTATAGTGGTATGGTTTTATGATGTCAAGTCAGAAAATGATAAATTTTCAGTAAATTTTTCACGATGTATAGATTCATTTTCAGTTTTTCCTGTGACATATAACAGTTTTGTAATACTGAAATCTGCGAGATATGCGGCAAACTGAGATGTTCGTTCGATATGTTATGTGGAATTGTAACATAATTCCTGAAATAATGGTATATTTTTCAGCCATTCTTAGGCGGTCATGACAGTTGAGAATAACTAAAAAATATATTATTACTTCAGGAATTATTTTGCGATTTTACGTGACATATCAGACAGACATCTTTGTTTTTTGCATATTTTGTAAGTTTCAGGATTGCGAGACCATTATGTGTTATAGAGGAAAAAATAAATCTATATGTCGCAAGAAATTTACTGCATATCATTTGTTGGCGTCATACAGTTACTACGGCTGACAGAAATAGCCGAATCTTAAATAACAAAACATTAAGTGACCAATCAATATTATACATGGTCTATCTAAGAAGTCTCGAGACTGACTTCGTTAAAAATTGAAAAATAGATTCAAGATATATAAATTTTATTAACTATAATGTTCAATATAGCCCCCCCCCCCCCCTTNTGGGAGCTTCTTTTTAAGTAATCTTCCTTTGGAATGACCTTCAATTTCCTCTGGATATCTAGAATATCATCAAACCGCTCTTTCTCTTAATTTGCATCTTTAATGAAGAACGATTCATAGTGAGGAAGAAAGCGAACTCGTTCGATGTTCGTATCGATGATTCTTATAAAGAGACGGCTCGATCTTGGGTCATCTTCCAACGATTTCCTACTTTTACGGAAGTCTTTAAATTATTCAAAAATGGACATGATAGACAGTCTGTATGCCCTTTTCATCCAATTATAGATCTCTGTTGACGTTTTTGAATTTTAAAACAAAATTTGAAAGCAGCGCGTTCTGTTCCATTATAATAATTGAATGACGAACACAATTTTATAAAAAAATATGCGGCTACCATTCTAAATGTACTGCCGATAACGTCGTGAAACAAATCTTATAGATAGTTGAGTGTTAGTACAAAAAAATTCTACAGGAGAGATACCGTTATTTGTTCGTTCAAGAAAAAATCAGTCTCGCAATTTTTTAGATAGATCGTACATAGAAAAAAATAATACGTTCCATGAACTATTATTAATCACAGTAATTAATTATTAAATTAACTCGCTACATGAAGAAATGCATATACGTAAATATGAACATAATTTTAAATTGTTAAAGTATATTTATTTAAAAGAAAATGTAAAAATTCAGGTAAATAAAAGTAAAAAAGACAAAAAAGATAAAAATTCAATACAATAACTAAAAAAAACTTTGTATTAACTGTTTTTATTAACTGTTTATTTTATAAAATCCCTCAAAATGAAAGGCAAATGGATCNAAAGGCAAATGGATCATGACACAATTATATACAGAACATATAAAATAGAACCCTGCTTCATTTTACATCTTTAAAATATAAAATTTCTTGATATAGAAACACATTAGATATCAATTAATTCCTGAATATCAAATTGTATCATATTTCTATTCCGTTCGTTGATGATGCTTACCATTGTATTTGCATAAAACCATAAACTTTTTTAAACTTGCAGTATCCAGAATTTGTCTTTCTTTTTCACTTTGTTTTCATCATCATCATCATCTGGCAATAGCAGCGCCAATTTTTTTTCTGGGAATGTGATTCAGAAATATAAGAGTATTATTCATAAAAATGATTGTTAAAAACCAAACACATAAATCCAAAAACATTAATCGAGCAGACATTAAGCAGACAAAGACTGTACTTACTTTTTTATAAAGCACTCCTTTTCCAGTTCTATCATCCATGATAAATTACATTTTGTATTTCATGTATTTTGTAAAAAAGTACAAAAATATAAAATATACAGGTTGAGTCAAGACGGATGATATAACTGGACAGGAAATCAAGGACGAAAACAATCGGGATTAGTTACATATAACGAAATTCGTTAAATCGGGTGTTAGACAAGTGCACCGGAAAATTTTCAAATTCGATTATCTCGGAAACGAAAACAATAATATCCTATATTTTCAACTTATTTTTGCATATAGAATAATCTCTTGTCTAATTGTACCACCCGTCTAGGCCCACTTAATAGATCATACAACATATCTGCCAATGATATCACGTAGATTTCACATGTTCAGACATGTAAATATGTATAAAAATGCACGTTATTAACTATCTCACCTAAAATTAAAATTTTCATACATCAATTGATATTGATTTTTATATCCCAGCTGATTATGTCAAAACATTATATATATTATAACAATCAGTTAATATTGAAAAATTGATTACTAATGACAAATTTTAACTATAATTTATATTATTTAATTTCTTGCTTTCGTGCAAATTTTAAATTATTAATTATAACAGATAAAATTACCGTTAGTAAAACTTATCAATTTCAGCTAAGCTAAAAATCAGAGCACGCGAAATTTATACAATATCATTGATAAATGTTAGTTATTTATTAGAAATGCTTCTTTTCGTTATCACAGACCCTTGGCAGTGATACCATTCCCGGATTACCAGCGTTCCAACAACCAATTATGTCAATGGAAGAAGACGACGTTAGCGACCAAGAAATTGTAGGTTATCGTTTAAAAATTGTTATCTGTTAAACTTTTTTCGAAATCTGGATATATTACGATTTAAATATTATTAATATTTCAGGGTCAGTTGGAAGATCACGGCCCGTTTCAATCTTTATCTAGGCTGTGGGGGCATCATGCACATCTTGCTGTATTTATTAATTATGTTCTATCTAACAGTGATCCTTCTAGCCTGGTATGTATATAATTATTATTGGTCTTTTATCATTTCAGATTAACACTTTAAAATATGACAAAATACAATTAAGAATAATAATTAAGAGTGAGAAAATTATATCTTCAAACAATTTTATTAGTTTTTTCTGCATTCATTGAAAACAATAATTTGTTATTATTACTGTTATTATTCATTTTAGAAAATAATTATTGTTAAGGCTCTGGAGTTTATTGTGACTATTCTTATTTAACCTTTAGAGGGCTGGAAAGCCAATATATTGGCGCTACCCATGATCGATACTTAGTGTATAGTCAATCCATGATATAAGATACCTTTTTTACCACTTTACTAAGGTGGATATGCCCTCTCATATCCCGGCCCTCTAAAGATTAATAACGTCAGATGCGAGAAAACGCATGCCAAGATAATTTTGCGTTATACTTTCATAAAAAGATATATCTACAAAATGACATATGTGATCGATTAGCAAACTTGTAAAATTGAACGAACACGTTTCTTTTACTCGAATAATCAATAAGTAGTCATAAAATTAATATTGACAAAATCAAGAAAAGAGATTAGAAGACAAGATTCCATATCAATTTTGTGACTATTTATATTAACAAGAGAAAAATGTTTGTCCAATTTTACAAGTATGTTGAGTAGATCACAAATATAATTTTGTGCATATATCTTTTTATTTGAAAATATCTGGCATTTTTTTGCTTGTGATGTCATTAAACAAAGATAGTCAAAGCGACTACTCAGGAACCTTAAAGTGGACCTGTACTCTGAGCAAACGAAACGCGAACGTGTAATATATTAACATACATCTTGCGCCCATCAAACTTTCTTTAGTAAATCAACTTATCGGTGCATGGGTCCGCAAATTGAACGTTTTGTTTAAATTCATTACAGCGTATGCATCTTCCAAATCATAACAGCGAAATTTCGCGCATTGTTTGTTTGTTTATTCGATTGTTCAGTATACAGGGTGTCTGAAAACGTACCAGAAATATGTCAAGGATCAATTTGGGAATATATTTAGAATCAAAAAGTTTATATAAATATATGTCCTAAACTTAATTATTGCCAAATTATTGTTAAATACAAAATAATACAACCTGGAAGAAACCGGACTTTGATATCTCATTTAATTCTGGAGGTATTCAAGTGCATTAAAATAGGACATTCTGTATAAAAACACAAAATACTTCTATTAATTTAGTTTAATTTTCCAGTTATTTTATTTGGTAACGGATTTGTACAAGGAGGGAAATGCCAAAGAAATGAAAAAATGGGCATATGAAATACATTCTAGTTTTTTAGTACCTGGTGCGGTAAGTAATAAAATAATGTAAGATAAAAATATTCTATACAAATAACCGTCAGAACTCGTTCAATGACACAATCAAAATATTATTAGTGATTACATGAACTTTAAAAAGTCTCCATTTTAAAACTTTAAACATTGTATCTCTTTAATCTCTAAAATAATTCTCAAATATAAAGCTTTATATACTTCAATCCTAATGTAAATGTATAAGTTACTTAATGTAAATAAAATAGTTACTTTTTGTTTAGCCATTACGTCTACATAATGTAGATGAAAATGTCGCGAATGAAATAGACGATGTCCTTTTCAAGGAGTCTGATAAAGAAGAGATTCTTAGAAAGGTACGTGTTACTTTCTGTTTTTAACTTGATTAAATGTTTTAAACATGTAATGCATTTTATTATTTTGCATCACATACTATAAATTTTCTTAGTTTTATGCTATCATATAAAATCTATAATCTTTAAAAAATTTGGAATTATAAATTATAATTATAAAGAAATGATATTAACTGTATCAAAATTTGTAATATGTTTTGATTATTTTTGAACAGATTTTTTGGAAAGCACGTACTAGGGCGAAGGAAGAATTGAATGAACAGTTGATTCATTTCCAACAGAAAAGGACCGCAGGATTAGCTACAATTTTTGGCCCGACAGACAACTCGCTCGATGAAAGTATATCTGATAAAGCACGTGAAACAAAGATCATTGAAACGTATCTTTTGCCGAAAATGGAACCTTACCTGTAAGATTATGTTTTGCACAAAATTATCACGATTTTTGTTTTACAACATACGTTCGAATACATCTGTCAAAATTAATGACATTCACAACATTTAACACATTTACTATCCATTAATAAGTTCTGTGATAGATAATATGTCACTTTTGTCGTGGGCCAGGATTAATGATTCGATTCGAAAATTAATGAATCGTATATGGATCAAGATATTCTTGATGATGTAATCTATACATTATAAATTTTTATACAATTATTCGCATACGTATCTTTCAGTTTTATAATTAGACATTTTTCGCATACATATCTTTCAGTTTTATAATTAGACATTTTTGGCAGTGTATGAAATGCGATTTTAATTCTGTTTTAATCTAATTTATGTATATTTAAAACGTTATGAATATTTTTCTAACAAATCACGAAATAATTGGAAAATTAAAAACTCTAAAAGATTTTTTAAACTAAATAATATAATTATGTTATATACTGAAAAGTTAATTTTGTTTTAAACTGGACAGTGAACATATTAATTTTTACGTATTACTATACAATATTATTAATTGTCATAATTAATAAATGATTTATTAAACCTTCTTATAGCAGTGATTGGGTCGAATAAACGTTTCAACGTTGAAACAATCAACGTTTAACTGTTTCGTATCCAATTGTTTGATAAACATATACTCAACTACTATAAATATAGAATAATGTATAGAAATATAGAAATAGATATAGATATAGAAAACATCAGAAACATAATTCTTTCTTTATGGATTTTTAAATATTATGTAAGTGTTTAATTTACATTTCCATGTGGTAGTGTCAAAGCTATATATCATAAATTGTATTTATAAATATTTAGCGTACAATCGAGCTTCTTCGTGTTATATTAACTATTGTTTTTCTATTATTACGGACCAACTATTTTATCTCAATATTATTTACGATACTTAGTAAACGTATTACTAATGGTTAATCTAAGTTAAAAAGATATATTATTATATTGAACAGTAATGTGTGATGTATATATAAATGTACAATTATAAATTTTCAGAGAAGATATAGAGAAGGAACATGTAGATCTGCGTTTGTTCACAACGGCAGCCGGTCTAGCTACAATTTTGATAAAGATCTTTCAATTACGTCCGGTTTGGGCCGATCGAGTGCCCACTTTCGTTGCAAAAGATAAATCCAATATCAAGGCACGGTTGCTTACTGGTAAAACACGTAAGATGACTATCAGAGGACACCATTTTGTGGCACATCAGTACTTCACAATAACTTATTGCAATCACTGTCAGCTTATCATTGGTGGCATCGGTCCTCAGGGATACCTGTGTAGTGGTATGTAAAATATATAAGAATGTTCTTACTCAGTATTTTCCTTAGAAAAATGCATATTCTTTGAAAACAAATTAGCATTATTCATACAAGTTTATTCGAAAACATGATTTTTTAAAATGTAATCTACGCTAGTAGATTAACATCATAAATTTTTATACAATTATTCTCATACATATCTTTTAACAGAAAGCTTCTAATGAACAAAGATTTGTAAATTTTTTATTTTTAAGAAACTTTAATTGATTTCTTTTCGTGGGTGCACTTAAAATCTATAATTGTAAAAAATAGCGTAATAAATAGCTAGTAAGCCGCATAGATAGTTGCAAGTAGAAATATTAGATCGTTAAATATTAAATGTCCGATTTCGAATCAAAAGTTTGGTTCATTATATCTCAAACAAAAAGCAGTACAATTAATCAAAGTATACACCTAAACTATTAACACAGTTTTGCCATCTTAACGATGATTTGTTTATGTCAGACAGCGAAGAAGCCTGTAGAATGAATGACAATGAAATCGCAAAAGGCATTTCCTACAGCTTGTTGAGAATTAAATATTTTTTCTTGCAAGAAGTGATCCATAGGTATAGAGTAAGCTTTAACCCGTAAGAAATTGACCAATTACAGTCGCATGTAAGAAGAATAATCCATTGTAATTGGTCAATTTCTTATGGCTTAAGGCTTACTGCACCTATCATAGACATAGTTTTAATGTTTCTGATAGGAATATTTTGCTGGAATATTCTCTTAATTGACCCCATTTCATCAATATACGTAGTTTTCAATTTAATTTAGTAAATTTCATGATATCTATATTTCAAAAATTTTTATTATTTTTCAGAATTATACTTTAATTTTCATTATATTTCACAACATTACAATGAATTTCATGAAGGAAATTATGATTTATTTTGAAATATCATTCATTATAATATATTTCAGTAACTTTTTAGTAATTTATTATTTAATAATTTATTTCAGTAATTTTTCAGTAACTTTTATCTCACTGTTCATGAAGTTCATAGTATACCAGTACTCAGATATAAGGAAAGTTAAAATATACTGTCAAAATCTACTGAATTTAACTGAAAATTGTGTACATTGACGGAATGATAATGAAGTGAGGTCAATTGAGAAAGAATTTCAATACAATTTTTAACATAAGATTTCTATCAGGTATACCACTGAAAATATCACACTCAGCTTTACAAATCTTTTTAACTCCTGAAAAATTTTTTTATTTTTAATCACGTATAGCTTATTAAAAATAAAAAAAGTCATCATAAAAAACTTATTAGAATAAGAAAGTCTTGGTATGCAATTTGATATTAATATATCGCAATGTGATAGCTTGTCAAAACAGGACTATATTATTTTGCTAATTAATTGACAGATTGTTCTCTCAGCGTACATCGACAATGTGTCCGTGTAGTAGAAGAAAATTGCCCGGGCCCGTTGATGAAAAAGGAAAGAACCAATGATAGAATTAGTAAACTGATGGAACGTATTCGACCCGAGAGAAAACTTCCTTCATCCCATCATTATCATCATCATCATCATCATTCGCAGAACCATATATTTCATCGTAAGTCAAGATTTTAATATTTTATATATAAAATTTAATTCATTCTTGGCATTTATTATCTTTTATTAAACATTTATTATCTTTGATTAAACTTTTAGTATAATCTAATCTCAGTATAATACCAAGATAATTCTTTATATTTTCTAGTTATAAAAGAGATTCAAAGTGTGTCTCAAAAAAGATAAAATTATATAGACGTGTAAGGAAATATCTCAGTATGAAATATGGTTGGAATATAACGCAAAATTAACTGTTGTTAAATAACGTGTATAGATAAAAATGCAGTTTTAGAAAACAACTTTGTTATATAAGTGACATTTCGTTTTACACGACCACTTAATAGAAAGCTACTATGGATAAGCATGCACTGAGAAACCCATTTAGTTGAATCAACTAAATTCTTGTTTGACTATGGGCAAACAAATTTTTTGATTTTAATAACCAAAGTTTGGTTTTCTAATTGAAAGTTTAGTTCTCTGAAGTTTCAGAGGTTTCAAAGAACCAAATCTTTGATTCAGAGGATTAAACCTTGGTTTTTATGACGAAAAACTTGTTTGCCCATAGTCAGATAAGAATTTAGTTGATTCAACCAAATGGATTTCTCAGTGTAGTAATTTAAGAGTTAGTATATATTAGTAAATATTAAGCTGCTACTTTAAATTATAATCTTACAAAAGTTTTACTTTTCCGGTTTTATAGTGGAAAAAAATAAAAGAGGTGAAGAAGATTCTGGTGCATTGACAGATGGAGAAAGCGGTAAGTCTTATTTTTTTGACATAATTTTCTTTTTCTTTATTAATTAATTTTAATGAACGCCATAGTAATATCTTCATAGGAATTAAATGTTGTCTAAATTTTGTAAATCTCTTACCTAAGACAACTTTAGAATAAGTGAATATTATATAGAAATCCTACATATAAAGAGAAGCATCATTGAAAAAAATCAATTTGATTAGCTATATGAATCACATAACCCAGGCGTAGGATTACTTTTCCTAAATCATAAGAAAAGAATCTCTAAATACTTACTATATCTAGGATACATTCAGAATTTCCAATCACGTTATGAATTAAGTTTTAAACACACATCTATATACGATGTATATAAGTTGCTTTCCAGCAAGAAGCACAAAAAGATACGAGAAAGTTGTTTCGTTTCCTATATATGTTATCTGATAAGCTTAAGATAATACCAAGCCAATGAAATAACTTTATGTATCTCTATGTTTCCTTGCTGAAAAGCAACCATAATATTTTTCACTTTCGGTTGAGGTACTTCGGCTCGGGCGCATTGTATCTAAATACTTTTATATTATAACTATTGGTTTTGAGAAGAACCAGTAAGTTATATATTAAGTGTATAAATTAATTCGTGCCGTTTTTTCGGGCGCCCGGTATCCGAGAGGCATCGTTCAAGACACAGCTCAAATCTGAATTTAATTAAAATAAAAAATAAGATATTTTCCAATTTTGATGCTTAAATTTATTCAAATCAAGTAAACAATTTTTATATTTATATAAACGTTATTTCTTTAAATTAAGTAAAGCCTGTAACTTCGTCATTTTTTTGAATTTCGCAAAATTTTTTTAAGAACATATTCTTGAAAAGTAATTCTAACGTTTACAACAAGAAAACTTTTCGATAAGATTTTTCGAATCAATTTGTTGAGATTTCTGAAATAGACTATCCCTTTAATAACTGTGACGAATAGTATATTAAGGTAGAAATATTATTTTAGCAACTGACATACAAATTACAAATTAAACAATAGCATTCTTAAAAATTAAATAAATCTTTATACAAAATTGATATTTTACATTATGCCGAGTTTATTTTATTTATAATTAATAATTTTATTTAATGATTAATTATTATAATTTATAATTCCAGGAGAACAACGTTCAGGTAGCTTAACCGGAAATGTTCGCAACAGTTGCGAGAGAGCACGAATTTCCGGTTTAGGAGGAACAAGTGATCATGCTGAGAGCATAGACAATCCTTCTTCACGAGAAGATATTTCCGAGATGTATGTATCCAGATAATAAAACATTAATCTTTATCCATTATTATTGTTTTGTACACTTGCACGAGAATCACTTTTTAAGTTTATAGTTCCGGGAAAAAAGTTCGGATCTAATTATATATAATTATTTATAATTCTATAAATATAATTATATATAGATTTTGACTTGATCTAATCATATATAAAAGATAAAATTGTTTCCGATCATATCTAATAGATATCTAATAGATCATCTAATTATGGATCATCTAATTATAGATCATTATTATAATTATTATCATTATATATTATCCATAATTAAATACAATTATTCATAACCTATAATTTCATATGTGATTCATCTCTGCACTCGAATAGCTCAAAATTTACATAAAAATGAACGAAAAAAAATTCTTTGCCCGAAGAATTTTCTGAATTATTGAATTTTTATTGTCATCTTTCTTTTCTACATAATAGTGTTATAAACATGTCAATAAATTAATAATAAATATTTATTGTTTTATCCGATTTGCTTGCATCGTGAATATTAATTTACGCTTTATGAATTGCGATTACTTAGGGTCCAGCAAAATATTTCCAGTAAGCCAAAGACGTCAAACATCAACAGGTCTGAAAGTTACAAGGAACGGATACATCATAAGGTAATTATATATATATATATATATATATATATATATATGCACGTACACACGCGCGCATATACATAAACCATATATTTAAATATATTATTTACAAATATTTAATCATGTGACTGTATTAACCACTGATTTAGTTATTTCATATGAAGACTCGAATTTATTAGAAAAGGGAAATAAAATCAGATCTTAAATAAATTTCATTAAAGATCATGATTATAATAAAAAAACTTAAAATTAAAAAGAATGAAAAATAGATTATACGAACTTAAATGCAAGTTTTAATGCAATGTATTTATTTCAAATCGTTATTTGTAATATTTATAAAGGTAATCTTTATAGGTGACGTTGTCTGCTATGCCACGATCGTACTCTTCAAGTCCAAAGTCAAACTAATAAGATCACTAAATAGATCTTTCTAAACCCTACAACTTTTATCTGAAACAGTTTTCTATGAAACTTATATTTTTTGAGATATTTTGGGGTCCTAGTTTTTCCTCACCCTGTATAATTGCCTACAAATTACTTGCAATACAGAACATCCAATAAATTAATCTAAAAATTCTTTATTTCAATTATTAATTATTCAAAAATTACAGCTGTTATATTTTTATTAAGGAAAAATCGGCTCCAAATGGATTAACAGATCAGTGAAAAATATGTGATTTTGAAAATAATACGTGTTATATTAATTTATATTAATCAAATTCGCACATATAATGTCCAAATATGGCTTTGCGATATTATGAAAAAGTAAATATCATATTATTTAAGTAAATATCATATTTATTAAGTAATTTAAGTTAACTTGTGACTAAAATCACTTTTTTTTACAGCGGCAATTGAGGGAAAAAAGGAAGACCAGTGATCCGAATCTCTCTAAANAGAATCATATTAAGTTAACTTGTGAAAAAGTAAATATCAGTTAACTTATGAAAAAGTAAATATCATATTAAGAATCATATTAAGTTAACTTGTGAAAAAGTAAATATCAGTTAACTTATGAAAAAGTAAATATCATATTATTTAAGTAAATATCATATTTATTAAGTAATTTAAGTTAACTTGTGACTAAAATCACTTTTTTTTACAGCGGCAATTGAGGGAAAAAAGGAAGACCAGTGATCCGAATCTCTCTAAAACAAAGTAAGTTGTTTTTATACAATATTTTATATAATAAATGCTTCATTACTGATATTTATATAGGGTGTAAAGTTAAAAGTTTAAAGAATATTATTTCTAAAACTAATATCTTTATTAATTTAAGAAACTACCACAGTTTGTCTTCTCGGATTTTGCCAAATTTGAAATATGTTATAGTTCTATATCCCTACTAGTATATGGTAAAATCACTCAATGCAACTCTCAAGTATTTGCAAGAACATTGAGTTGGGGGCTTTTTGTACCTTATACAGAATATCCCAGCGCTCACGACATTAATTAATATGGCAAGGTTTGGGAACTCAAACAGAGATGAACATTCTAACGCAAAATATCGAATATCGAATATCAAGGCTATAACAGAAATAAGAAACGTTTTAAATGAACAAATTACAGAGTAGAATATTCGCGTGCTCAGGTACGCTACAACGTACAGTAGTATAGGTTTTTCCCGTTCATTTTAATTCCTTATAGCAATAAAAATATTTTGCGTTGAAAACTTTATGAGTGATCGAGCTGTACTTATATTAAGTTGTTCGAAAAGTTCGTTTCAAATTTTGCTCCACGTTTCGCGTTGCTACGGTAATCAGTGAGAGCAAGGGCGTTTCGGACGATTTTGTGTTTGTCAACAAACCTTACTGGATCTGTGAGCCCGCCAAGAGAACCTCGCAGGCCTTCCTAAGTGCAACCATTTCGGCAGAAGTTAAATAGAAAGATTGAGAATCAGAAAGTCCACCTTCGCTGTGTGATGTTGTGTGGCTTCACGGCTTTGCCTGATCCTAAATGAGATTCCTTTGTATATGCCTGTGAGATGCCTGTGTCATTCATCTACGACAGTTCGGAAATGGTGATTTCTACTTGGAAGATTAAGATCACTCTGGCCGGCTTCAGGAGGTTGATGAGACGCTTCTTAAGGACCTCGTCCATGAGTGACCGTTAAAAAACTCGCTGATACTTTGTACAAGTCCGTCTCCATCGTGAATGACCATTTGAAGAAGGTAGAATTCTCAACTCGACTGGATGGATGTCTGGGTGCCACACGTGAAATGGTGAATGGCAGCCAGTGAAACGTGTGAATACCTGCGATATGTTGCTTCAACGGCATCAAAAGGAATCTTTTTTTGGAAAAGATCATGACTAGTGATGAAAGTTGGATCTTATACAATAATTTTAACCGCAAGAAATCATGGGGAGCCAGCGGCACGTCTACGTAAACAGTGGCTAAGCCGGGACTTCATTCAGAAAAGATTCTTCTGAACATTTGAATTTGAAGGGCGTAGTGTATTTTGAGCTTCTTTAGCCGAAGAAGACTATGAACGAAGTCCAGCTTTCAGCTGGACGAACTGAAGGCTGCCATCGTACGGGAGCGTCCTGAACTAACCAATAGGTGTGGAGTTGTATTTCATCATAACGCCAAATCTCGCGTCGCGATGTCCTTTTTGTACGTTTTTTTTTTAACACAAATCGATTCCTCTGTTTATTATAAAAGCACTAGGGCGAAATCATCTAAGTACAAATATTTTTCGAGTTATTTTACTTTTATTTATGATATTTTTTAAACGAAGTATGAAATATTTCAAAATATTTATTTTTTGATAACATCACACTTTTAAAACTTAACACTTTTTCATATAATATTTATATAACAATATGAGATAAATTGATTACTGATATTAATCATTGCACGTTAGTACGATGCATTTACAAAATTCAATTAATTTTTGTCAGGCTTTCTCTATGCTTGTTTACAGCGATCGATTCTACTTGCTATTTTATATACAAAAGTATTAAGATGGTGATATCAGAAAAAGAATATTTTATGAGATATTTTATATCTTATACTGAAAGATATCTATATAAGATATATATATAAGAATGAAAAGTAAAATAACTCGAAAAGTATTCGTATTTAGATGACTTCTTATAATCACGCTTATTTATTAATGTGATTTTATTTATTAGACATTATTGTATATTGAAATAACTTCTACTATTGATGAAGAATATGCTCATACTATCATATAAATATAAAGCAATATATTTTATTCGCTAGACTATTACTGTATGTTAAATATGTAGTTATACAACTAGATTAACTCGATTTGCGTCTAGCTACAGTTGAAAAAGCAAATATTTGCTCACGGGATTTTGGCAGTTATTATCGTGTGCTATCTTTTTCGTACGCCTTGCTTTCCGTTGCTTTTCCATAATATCCACGTGCGAAGAGCGCAGACTCGGCTCATGCCTCGTTTCTTGTCGTGTAAAGGTGTATATACACGAGGGTTCTCGTTCGGAAGACCTTCAGTGTGACGTTAAACGTTCAATTTCGCGGATGGACTATTGCGTCGTCTTGAAATGAGACACAAAACACCTACGCTTTTGGGACGCTCTCAAAACAGCTGCTTTTTTCGTTACATTCGGACTGGTCGAAAACTTGATTACGTGCTCTCGCTCTCATTCCGATTCATTCGTATATTATAATATCGCTTTTAATCTCTTGTCTCAATTACTCCACTACGGTGAATTGTGATAAATACGACATCTAAATCTACGTGGATTTTAATTCCGCACCAGTGGCCCAGCTTAACCCTCTGACAAGTTCAACAACGGACAGTTCAATTCAATCTTCGACAAAATCGCATGTTTCAAACGAGATATCTGTGAATATGTGGATTATTAATAGGGTTTTGAAGCTATGCATAGCTTTCTGGAAGATTTCATAACAAGACTGATGATTAGATCTTCTGTTCTCAAGGTCTTTTGCAACTTTGATATTAAACATTCATTAAGTTTCAAATCTATTTTGAATGTGTTATGGAAATTTTAAACACAAAATGTTTAATTGCAAAAAGTTAGAATTTTGTAGTAAACAAAAGTAAAATGTTAAGTAAATGATTGACTAAACTTCTCCCTATTAGTTTTTGAAATTGTTCTTTTTAGTTGATTGTTAAGAAAAAAAAACGAATTTCAGTAATATGCCGCAATTATAATGTATTTTTCTGTATTTATTTAATTTTGAAAAAAATAGTTTTATATGCTGCAGCTAAAAGTTGATAAAAATATTTTATTTCACACATAATTTTCATAGTAAAAAAATTAGTGGGCAAAATATATGTTTACAGTATTTTCATATTAACAAAAATTAACATTACATCACAAACCATGATTTTCTGACAATTCAGTTAAAGTAAAATTATATAAACAATATACTATACGTACAATAGTATTCTTACAAAAAATTAGGGAAGTTTAGAAAAATATTAAAGAAAATTTTTTTATAATTAGAAATTGATTATTTTTCTGTATTATTTTGAATTATATTCTTGTGCGGGTTAAATTATTTGCAAACTCACTCAACAATTCTATTATTCCAAAAGCTTGTCTTGTCTCGCGATCAAGGCATATCATTAAAATTTTTACTATCCGAGATTAATAATATCTCGATTTGACAGTTTGAGATTTAGACGCAAATGAATGAACATATTTTTAATAGAATATCATAACTGAATTAACATTACAGATTTTTATTTTTATCTCAGGAAACCAATCAAGACAGAAAGAAATCCGCACCTATATATAATTACTAAATCTAAGAAATATACGATTATTGATTTTTGAATAGCACAATCAATGCGGAAAAACTTATTATATGCTGATAAATCGTTGAAAGTCGTAAGAACTGCAGAAAGAAAGTTGCGTGTGGTTATTCATATGATTGCTAAAAAAAAACGTAAAGTTATATACGTTCGACAGCATAACGGAAACAATAAATTTGTCAATATAGAGTCTGTTTTCGCGAACATCTTGAGATTATCTAATAGAAAACCGCGCAAGCGCCTTCGTAACAAAACTAAAAACATATATTTAGTCGTACAATTCACCATTCATGATTAGGAAACTCTGATCATCTCAAAACTATAGTATGAGAATGGTTTATATTTAAAACGATAGAAAAATAAATTAAACAGTAGCCAATTTGAACTTTTCAAAGACAATAATAAAGAGATAGAGAGAGAGAGAGAGAGAGAGAGAGAACATACGTGCATGCATAAATGTATATATAAAAGTTTTCTGTGAAAAAGCGAAGATAAAATATTATAATACAAAATAGCAATATTATAATACAAAAAAGCAAAAATATCCAAAAAGAAATAGAACAACCGGTAGTTGTTGCGGTCAATTTCGCGGATGGACTATTGCGTCGTCTTGATTCTGCGGTCAATCATTCTCGAATTGTTAGCAAAAGTGGAACAAAATAAAAAGGAATTTATTTTTAATCCTATTTTATAACTTTTTTTAGACGAAATTTAATTTAAATTTAAAATTAACATTAAAAATAATTAGAAACAAAACAAATCTTCACAAAATTAATATTTATATAAGAATCAGAAAAATTAGAATTATCTTAATTTATGTTGCTTGAAATAATTATCTTTGCTAAGTATTCTTTGAGGTTCAGGTGATAATATTTATTGAACATTAATTAATTTATAATATATTGAACATTTTCTAGTATTTTCAACAACTATAGGTTGGCACAGCTTTTATATCTTAATAAATCTTCTTAAATGTCTTTAAATTATTTTTAATCTATATCTTAAACATCTGATATAATAAATTATATGTCTATATTTATTTATATGCTGTTTTAATAAACATTAAATAGTATATGAAGTTAGTGAAATGTTATTGAATGTAAAGGATGTAGATGTATTTATCCTATTTTGTTAGTCACAATTAATCTTTAATTGTTAGTTAACAAGTATAGTATAAACATTAAATACAAAATATAAAAGTTATTGACACAAGCATATGTGCACGCACATGTATACACACACACACTCTCTCTCTCTCCTTCTCTCTTTCTTGTTCTATTCTTGTCTCACTCACGCGCGTGATATGTGCAAATGTACTAGTTATTATTGGACACAAATTATAAAAATTATTTATTTAATATATTGAAAATACGCGTATAGTCATAATTAATTAATGAAAAATGAATGTTAGAATGACGTTCACAATTAAGACGCCTAAAGTATTAAAAGCCTTCCTCTGTTTATATAGAATCGAAAAAACTTATAGTCAAGTTTGCAAGACTGTATGACATTCGAAACAAACCTATGACCTATGACGAAAATACGACACGTGTATAAACGAAGAATTTGAAAATCTAAGGTGACGTCGCGATTACTCGCTCGAGAAGCTTTTGCCAGAATGCTGTTCTATTTTACGCCTGTCTATTTTAAAGGATCGATAAGGGGTTGGTGGAAAGAAAGCTATCCGTTTTTATCGGATTCATCTAATACATGTGCACGCTGGTAAACGGAGTGATGTCAGAGCACGGATATGTCTTGGCTTTTATTTCGAAGCGATCGATACTTCCGAATCAATACCATTGTACCTATATCATATTTTTAGCATCCACGTGTGCGCATGCACACGTATATACATACTTGAGTGTATTTATAATTGTTACAATATCTTTCTGTTGATATAAGTTAATTATCAAATATTGTTAAAGTATGTCAAATATATAAAGAAATTTTATTATTATTCATATGTGTATAACAAAATATTTTTTATTTATTATTGTGTTATTTAGTATTTCTTAGAAAGATTTATTTCTAAAGAAAGTTTTAATAATTTATAAAGAAAATACAACTTGGATAATTTTGATTCAGCGATTTATTGTTTATTTTTAATCAATAGAGCAGATAAAGAAGGGAAAAAGGAACTTTATGTTACTTGCTGAAGAATAATATATTATGTTTATTATTGTGTTAATGACATTTTTAGTCTTTTTTTTAACAAAATATTTCTATGAAACTTGTGAAAGTAAAAAAAAATGTTTACTAATTTCACACGTACTCTCTGTTTCTTTCTGAGATCTTATACGTATAAGTATATTATTTCATACAATTTAGGTTAAATGCCAATGCACTGTTATACAGCTTTCACAGTATTGAATCGGAAATATTTAAAATGTTGACTATATCATATTATCTACTAGTTTACTATATTATTTTTATTATCTACTAATTTAATTACAATTGTTGTCCCGAGAAAATGATTATGGGGAGATCCTACTATAATTATGCAATTGTGTGTGATGCAGCGAGCGACGAGATCGGAATGGCAAATCAGAAAGCACTGAATGACAAATGGTGAATGGCAAATCAGAAAGCACTGAGTACAAGAGGCAAGTTGGCCTCGTCACTCTTCTTACTTGTTGGGCCGTTTTCCAGCATTCGCCTATCTCGCCTTTCATCACTTGTCGTATCACGCTCAATTATTTTCCTATCTTCTTTAATTAATAACTCAAACATTTATGTGGTTATTTGCAAAATGTTAATGAACTTTTCATATTGACTTAATCTATAAATATATGGCAGTTATCGTGCCTAGCGACAAACAACTTATATATGCAGGAAATATGTCGTTATATGAATAAGAAATAAACGACAAAATGAAATTATTTCCACGATGGTGCAAAATATTTCGTGGATAAATTAATAAGATGGAAATTTATTTGTGTAAAATAAGTATTAATTACTTTTAAAATGTAAACTTTATATAGTTGTCAGCATTATTAATTGGCCACATAGATGTATGAAATTTACTAAAATGAGTTGACACAAACTGTGAAGAAAAATTAAGAACATATGTGTTAGGTTTATATAGAAAAACATTTGAGTGTCAAGTAACGTCGTTCATAAAGTCATCAAAAGTCAGGAGACAACATGAAGTTGGAAACTCAAATGTGAACTAAATTGTAATAGCTTATAGAAGGGAACTCACTAAGTACAAACATAGAATATTAGGTAGATGATCAGCCATTCAAAAGTTATTAACGAAAAAAAATTCACCTTTCATATAGATCGGTGTAGCATAGCCGAAGTTTGAAGAGGTGCGTAGCAGTGTAGGTAAGACATTCGACTGCTGAGACATAAGTCTGGGTTTGATTTCTCGTATTTTTTTCCAACTGTATTTTTTTTCTTTTTTTTAATAAAATATTAACATTTTAATTATTTTGTAAGCGAAAAGAGGTGATAGAAGAACAAAATAAATGTTATCTATGCGGACACTGAAATCTTTTTTTATTAATAACTTTTAAATGATTAACCATCTACAACTAATATTCTACGTTTGTACTCAGGGAGTCCTTCTCACTTCTATAAACTATTCAGTTATAAAGTTGAGTCATAAAGTTCAGTTCACACCTGAGTTTCTAACTTCATGTGGTCTCTTTGTTAGAACACAATAAGAGATGAGACAGCGTAGCTCGCAACGCGCCCGCCTGCGAACCGCTTCCCACAGCAATGGGAATTCCAGTGATCTGTCGGAGCCGCCAGTATTGCACGCAGAACCAGATCCAAATTTAAATCAGTCTGCCATCGACGTTATTCCGTCGAAAAAATACGACAAAAAAAGTGTCACCGACGTGCCGATGTCGAGCGATCACGACGTCACTGCATGCGAATATCTGCATCGCGTTAAAAAACGTACAAGATCCGAAAGGTATATTTTACCAACGTAAAATTAGCCCTTTCGCGCGATGTAAAAAAAATAGTTATAACATTGTACATAATAACAATGACATACACACATATAGCAGAGAATATGAACGTATTCCGGAAATCAAATTCCGCTTTAAGGCTCTTAGATATTCATTATGGCTATCCTTCTTTGATGACGTTAGCAGTAAGGAAAATCATGCCAGTTTATGTGACGGTATATGTGGAAATTAAAAAAATATATACGCGCAAAATAACACTCGTGATCGATTTAACACACTTGTAAAAATGTCTGGACGCTTTTCTGAATTTATAAATAGCCGTAAAATTAACGAAACAGAAATCATGAGAAAAGATAGATTAAAAACATAAGTTGCATATTACACTAATTTACGGCTATTTATTAATTGTTCGAAGTTAAAGGAAAGCGTCCGGACATTTTTACAAGTGTGCTGAGTCGATCACGAGTATTGCTTTGTGTGTATTTTCTGTTATTTCTACATATACCGTCACATAAATTGATTTTTCTCGTTTCTGACGTCATCAGAGAAGGACAGCCATAGCGAGTATCCAGAAATCTTAAATTAAATCTCTTTTTTTCTCTTTCGCTGCATTTCCCCTTTTGCCATCATTTTCTCTTTTGTTATCACGTTCAAATGCCACAAAACTGTACGCATATTTAATTTACATAAAATATTTCATTATCTGTGGTATTTATTTTATAGGCTTAATATTAAAACACGAGTACAAATAAAGTTTATATAAAAACACAATTTTTACTTTAATTTGGTGTTTAAGTTATAACTATCTTTTTAATGTCAACACTTTTTACTGTCTTTAACATTCTGGATATTATAAAGGAGAATTAAATTACCCAAGTTAATTTCCATATTTTAATATAACTTATTCCATGTATAAAAATTTTCATATTACGCACATTCAATTTCTGAAAAAATAAGAAAATAAAGATAACAAATTCTGTTTCTTTCACAATTAGTAAGTTTTTATAGCATCAAAAAGGACATAAATATCCTGTTTATAATGTTGATATAATGAGTATTAGTTTTCGAAGTACATTATATTGACGAATATTGAAAGACTCTAAATATCTTAACTATTAAATAAGCAAAACGCATAAATTGCCAACTATTCACTATAATGTCGGTTTCAGCGATTGTGAGTCTTCCAATACGTTTCCTGGAAACTCGGCTGGCAGTTCGTCGAATAGCAGCCTATCGACAAGGAGTCTAGATAGTCCTAGTACCAGCCTAGAACAAGTACATCCTACCACGTCGGCAACAAACGCATCAACTTCGTGGGACAGTGATGTTGATGTCGAAGCTGACCCGCCTGATTGGAGTCAAGCTGTTGCTGAGGATGTTCTTGCACATCTTAGCAATTCCGAGAAAAAAAGACAAGAAGTTATTAATGGTAAGTAATCTACTTAAACCGATTAACTGTCCAGGAAAAAAGCTGCGCTAATTAATATGAAATTTTGTGATAGAAGAAATATATATGTAATGTTTAATTTGATTTCCGGTTTAATGCAACGTTCTTCACAAATTTGTTCCCAACATATTATTAACATTCTAGTCTACTTCTTTAAGAAGAGGCACGATTCGAAGATATCGCTTTTCACTGGAATTACTTTTATATAAATATTGAGAACGATTAGTTTGAAGAAGGAAGAATAGATTTGGGAAGGAGAAGAAATAATTCAGATTTATGATATAATTGGAAGAGAGGAGGGACTGCTATATTGCAAAAATCGAAATCATATAACGCTAGTTTAAATAAATATAACTCTTTGCAATTATACATAAATTGCATTCTTTAAAATATGTATTTTTAAATTAAAAAATTATAAATGTCGGTGTGTGTGTGTGTGTGTGTGAGCGAGAGAGAGAGAGAGAGAGAGAGAGAGAGAGAGAGAGAGAGAGAAAGAAGAATTTTAGATTAACAGAATTACTTTTCTGATCTATGCACTGCCGTAAATATATTGGTATTTGAAAAAAAAATTTTAATCTTTTATACAAATAAAATGTAATACTTAGCTCGTTATGATTTTTATCCATTGGTACTCTTTTTCAGAACTGTTTCATACCGAGCGTTCCCATGTTCGCGCGTTGAACGTTCTTCTGCATGTCTTCCATAAACCGTTGCTGGAGTCACAAGTGCTGCCATTAGATCAAATACAGTTGCTTTTCTCAAATCTGGACGAGATGTTAATGATCCACTCGCGCTTCAATCAATCGATGAAGCGAAAGAAGAAGGAGAATCCATGCGTGGGTGACGTGGGTGAGCTTCTGCTGGAGATGTTCGACGGTGAAGCCGGTGAGGCGTTTGAAAGAGCCGCGTCGACTTATTGTGCTAAGCAGCAGGTAGCATTAGACGCTCTGCGTGATCGTCGACGCAAGGATTCCAAACTGAATTCTTTTCTGAACGAGATAGAAGCAAATCCACTCTGCCGCCGGCTTCAGCTGAAGGATCACATACTTACCGGCATGTTGCGGCTGACTAAATACCCGCTGCTTTTCGAGAATCTTGCTAAGTATACGCTAGATAGTAATGAAAAGGAGAAAGCGGCCGTGTTACGAAGTCTTGAACGCAGCAAAGAGATCCTAAGTCGCGTGAATCAGGCAGTGAGGGAGGCCGAGGATCATCAGCGGCTCGCCGAGATTCAACGAACGATCGATCGGTCAGCCTTCGACAAATTTGATCATCCGACCGTACAGGAATTCAAGAACCTCGACATCACGAAGCGTAAGCTGATCTATGAAGGACCCTTGCAATGGCGTCGCACCGAGCCGAATCGCTCGATGCCAAATCGTTCGGTGCCAAAGCCGGTGGATTTGCACGTGGTATTACTCGACGATACAATCTTCTTCCTACATCGGCAAGACGATAAGTATCTACTAAAATTTATCAACACGACAAATCAAGCAGGTAATGCCGTGCTCAGTCCGATCGTCAAACTGTCCACCGTATTGGTGCGTCACAACGCTGCTGAAAAGGACTCCCTCTACTTGGTTAATACCTCTCAGAACGGAGCGCAGATGTACAATCTGGTGGCGCCATCCTCCGCGGAGCGCAAACTTTGGTGCAAGCACATCTCCGAGGCTGTGGAGGCTTACAAGACGCGCGATCGTCAGGGTAGAAGGCCAACTCCGCCCACTACCCTTCCGGAAGAGCCGACGCACATAACGGAAGACGCGTCTCCCTCTGTCACGGAAGCGGACAGCATAACCGTTGAGAAGGATCAATTGCAGGATCGAGAATCGCGAGAACTCGGACAAGATGATGTTGCTGTTACTACTGTTACTTCCACTCCTACTTCTGCTTCTACCGCTGCAACTACTACTACTTCTACTACTACTACTACTATTACTACTACTACTACTACTACTGCTACTACTACTATTAGTACCGCTGTTGATATGCAAGAACATGACGAGAAGATACCAGATTCTTCTACTACAGAGACTCCTACGACGGAACAAACACAACAGCGAATGCAACAACAATCTACTGAGTCACCAACAACAGGTGTTGTACTCAAGAGATGAAAAAAAATTAATGTTTACAAACAATTTTTACAAACATTTTTGATAAATTTTTTCACTATCGATGCCACTTCTTGATGACCTTGACCTTTACATACATTATCAAGATCATGACGTTGAGTTACCTTCGAAAAGTTTTATGCTTATTATTTATTAAAAATTATTATTAATTAATTTAATTTATTTAATTAATAATTATAATTATTATTTATTTATTTATTTTTAACAAAAGTTAAATCACAGAAATTTCGTATAACGTATGTACAAACACTGATGTATGTAGAATGATGTGTATATAAAAACAGTATTGAAAATTGTAAATTTGAGGTCTTGCGTAGCGATCTTTATTATTTTTATCAAGATAAGCTCATCAATTTAAGAAGATGAGAAATTTAAGCGATAACCTATTCTAATTCAATTCAATGTAATTTTTTGGAGATTTTTTAGATACAGATTAAATATTTAGTAATATCGTGTATAGGCATAAGAACTACACAGAAACTATAAGTTTTGAATATTCTGATTAGCGAGTAGTCAGAGATTAGCGAGATTTAAAAGTTGCATTACATTTGACTGCATATTTTTAAATATTTATCTAAGTACTCAAATAGTTTCTTCAAATAACTTTCTAATAAATAATGAATGCCAAGTAAAATCTTTTGAAGGTCTTTCATCGTGACGATCTTGATAACATATGTCAATATGTGACGTGGATTTGGTAACGTGAATATTTATTACCAGTTTTTAATAGTTTTTATCAGTTTTTAATAGTACAATAATAAAACCACATATATACTTCCATAAAATTGTTAATATTTCCTTTTTTTTTGTAATATATAGGTATGGCGGAACCACTCCGGATGGTTACATGTACTCAGTTCTCATTAATAGATCCTTTAGAAGTTCACGTGGAAGTACCACCGGTGCATATTGCAGAACCAGTTTTCACACCAATAGGTAAGAGATTTCTTTTTTCAATGATTTCAAATTTAATCTAATTCAAATCTTAACGCGGTTACAGAAAGCTAATGATATTTTCTGCTGGTGAAAACTTTCATAAAATTTAAACCATATTATTATAATAGAAGTTGTAAAATAAACTATTAATCAACTATTAATATAAAAGTGTAAAAAAATAAGATATTCTTTTTACACATATTTAACTTTTAGTATTTAATAATTGCGGTTTGCATCTGAGAATATGTTTTAACGTTATAAAAATTACTATTTTTTTGTAGTAGAACGAAATACAATTCAACAGTAAAAACAATTATGCAAACATTTTGAACTTTTCAGAATGTCTGAGACGAAAGGACGAAATAATAAAACAGACCCTGCTCGAAAAACAATTATTGATGGCGGACATATTAAATATTCCTAAAGAAGATTTTGAGCATGTAGCAGACATGGCATCTGAACCATCCACTGTGGAAAAAGAACCTGCTGAACTCATACTTGCTGCTATTAACCAAAGTATTTATCATAAAGAAACAAATATAGCTTTAGTAATACGAAAAATTAGATTAATGTGATATTACATCATTTACCTATTGTTTTAGGAGTACCTACTGTTACGTAATATAAAATATTATCTAACGATATTAATTTAAAAATATTAAAGTGGTTTCAAACGTAATAGTATTTGTTTGTTGGTACTTTGAGGCTATTTACTAAATTATTAACTAAACAAGGAAACCCACAGGAAGTGTCCTACTACGATTGCAAGGAGCTTGTAATATGTTGAAATCTAGATCAAAATAGAGGAAACGTATTTCCTTTATATGTGTTCATACGCACTTTTAAAAGGTGACACAGTTTTTAGAATTAAAATTGTTTTTTTTTTTCTTTTGGAACGAATATTGTTTACACTATGAAAGATAGAAAGTACTTTTCAGATAAAAATTAAATGGTTTAAAAATGACAACTGTTGTTGTACCTAGCGACATGTTCAAAGATCGACAGTGAAAGTTCAATATACTAATGCCTGTCGCTCAATACAATAGCTTTCATATATTTGCAGATATAAGATAAAGTCCACAATATACTGTAAATGCTTTGGAACGTTTAAAAAAAAAAACATAATAGGTTTATACGATAATTTAGACGATATTTACTTCGAAAGAAAACAGTCGATATTTTCAAAAGGGTATTTCATTCCCTAAAAGTGCATATAACCACGTATAAACAAAAATATGTATACTCTATTTTAATCTAAATTCCAACATATTAAAAGCTTATCAAAATCGGAGAGGGACACTTCCATAGATTTACTTATAAGTATTTAACAAACTTGCATGCGTCATAGCATACTTACAATTTACTTCTGCTGTCAGCGGACCAGCTGGTAGGAATGTTGAATTCTGCATTGAATGTAAGCGAAACGGAAACGGTATTTGCATCGCGTGGGGCATCGGTGCTACCATCTCCCATATGTGAAGCCACCGGTTGTCCTTCGTTACGGAGCCACTTGCATCCTCAGCAATCAGTTATGAATATAATGCAACCAATTTGTCATTATCTCACATCCCAACTGTCGCAGCTATCACAACTTCTGGTAAATATCATTACAAAAGTACATTTCTCCTTTATTTTGGTTATGTAACATTTTTCTAATACTAACGCACTAATTATGTATTTATTAATACTAATTTACTAATTATTTATTATTGCATTTATTATTTTGAATAAAGGATAATTCTAACTACGGTTCCTTAACCGTCGTTAAAATTGTTTTTACCATTTTCTTTAAATAAACGATAATGCAACTTAAAGAAATATATCATATATACCGTTAGTATTGTATATGTTATACAATACAATTATATATATATATATATA